TTGGGTCGGTCACACGGTAAAAATACATTCCCCACCCCACGAGGAGGTTCCAAAAAGAAAAACAAATCAACAAAGGAAAACACATCCATCACCAGTTCCCGGTTACCCACCACCCTCCCCACGTTTAATGCGCATGCTGTAAAGCGCATTAAAAGGGGGCAACCGCTGATCCACTAACACCCCCGACCGCTGGGCCGAGGGAGGGAAGGGAGAGGATACCGATCTTGCCGGTTTCACTCATCCTGGCTGACAAATCAACATTGTCAATGCCCAGTAGACCGCGCTTGAGGCCGCGGAAACCAATATTAGCTTGCCCCTGTAGGGCACCTGCTCTAACCGACTCCCCGTTTCGTTTCAAAATAGAAACGGGAACACCCGCACGAACAAACTTCTGGGGGGGGGACATTGGGGGCGGGGTTGGGGTCCGGACACCTTTCGGGCCGTCCACCTTCGCCTTACCCTTGGCCACAAAACGGGCCTTCTTCTCCTTCTCCTCCAGCATCTGGTCACAGTCTGGCGTAGCGCGCCTCCTGCGATTCCTCTTCCTGTTCTCGCGAACGTGAGATTTGTCAGCAACGCCTGACGTCCGCTTGGTGTCATCCTGCACAAGAGGTGTGCCAGCCCCGGATGCGAGGGAAGACGGTGGGGTACCGGATGCCTTAAGCGACGGGTACCCTTGCCATCCCGTGAGATGGTCAGAGCGGTCGCAAAGTAGGCAGAGCCGTCGGGTGTGCACACAGGCAACACCAACCGCACTGTCACAATTCAATTGCCCACATTCGTGAGACTTGGTCAGGTGCCCCTGGCGGCACAGTTTGCACCGGGGGGGGAAGCCACAGGTAATCTGGGAGTGTCCCACTTGGAGACACTTCTCGCAGAGCCGCGCGGGAGCGTGTTCAAGCCAAAGCCTGACCGGTCGTGCGGCACCACGCAGGAAAATCTTACCTGCCTTGACGGCGGCCTCGAGGGCCTCGTTCCGGTCCACCAAAAAGCGAACCGAGCACGCCGTCGCACCGTTCTTCTTGTGGGCGAAGATCGAGCCCAATAAATTCGGCCGTCCGGAAACGACCATCCTGGGGTTGGCACCCTCGAGATCGACTCGGAGACCGTCATAGGCCCCGTCGCCGGTCCAATTCTCCACCTTCCAGCCGGAGCCACGCCCGGTGTCGGAGAGGGGGATGCCCACCACCACGATCTTGGCCTTGGCCTGATCCTTAGCAAACTTGAAGTCGGGTAACCCCAAGTCGCGCATAACAACACCGTGGCAGCCGTCAAGCCACCCGGAAACCTGGTCAGCTGTATGGTCAGCCAACGTAAGGAAGATGCATCCCACATCAGGTCTAAGCCTCGCTCCCTTCACGTAGGGATGGCTCCCTGCGATCTTGA